TGCTGCTTTTGTGTAGGGTGCTCATCAGAGGTGCGGTGATGTGCCGGTGATGCGCTCGGGACGGTCGCATGTGGCTAGGCCACCTCGGCACTCCTCCGCCTCAACCGCCACCGCAGCATGAATTCCGGTGAGCTACTGGTGCTTACCTGCTATCTCCACCACCCGATAGTGCCGTAGGTTGTCGAGATGGGTGTGCCGCCGCCGCAGTTAGCCACGTGCCACTACTGCTCACGTCTGTGCGTCGCCGAGTCCTTAACCGCCGCCTACCCCTGCGGGTTCAGTCATAATGAGTGATCGGCCCTTTTGGCCTACCGTTGCGGGTCTTGGTTGCCCGGCGCAACCACCGTTGCCGCCGGTGAGCTGCTCCGTCGTGAGCGGGCGCGCCGGGGACCGCCCCATTGTAAAGACAACATTTAGCAGGGTGTTTTGTGCAAAGCTGTAGTCTGGTGAAACAGTGCCGCACTGTATCGTTTGATTTTCTAAGAGTGTGAGTCCTCGTTTGTAAAACGCCAAGCGCGCGTGGGCGCTCCAAACTTGGGCCGCACTGGGCCATCGCGACTCGCGCGCGGCCACGCCCTGCGCTGGACTGCTGGGCTGCTGGGCCAATTGGTTGCCACCGGCCCTTTTCCTTTTTCTAATGTATTTTCTAATTTAGTTTTTAAGGTAAACTTGTAAAATCAGTATAAAATTGTGTAGTTAACCAAAAATTGTGAAACAAAGTTTGTTAGGTTCCTAAAATTATGGACGATCTGCTAGTATATTTGGTTCACATAGTTTTGTAATATTTTTAGGAGTTATCTAATTACTTTAAGATACTTAATATTGTAAGATATAAAATTGTAGGAATTTTTGTGATGCATTGGTGATAGTGTTGGCTCTGAAACTTTTATAGTAAATCCATAACATTATTGGGTGCTCACTATAATTTTTGTAGCTCCATAATAATTAGTTTACTAAGATAGCTAAATGAGCCCTAGTTCAAAAATATATATTTAATCAATAAAATACCAAAGTACCTTGGGATTTTAAAACTAGAATATTTTTTCGGAGACAAAACCTTACTTGGCGACGTGGATACGTAGACTCGTACGTTAGTCATTAAAGCTAGCTCGTTGGCTTGCGGAGCGTACTCGAATTGAGAGTTATAGTTGCCGTTGATTATTTACATCCCTGCGTTGCATCCACATATTTCATGATAGGAGTGATGTTGGATCACGGAGTATTCTGGAGTAGCGAAAGCAGATGGTGACTTGATGATCATGCCACCATAATGGAATGCTAACTTTTGGTTATATTTTACCTAGGCAAGCCCCGGTGCATAACCCCTATTATTCTGCACTTTATCTTATACTTGTGCATTAAGTTTTAAGGAGTTGAATAAAAACCACTTGCATATATATCCGTATCCTATAAGTAGTACTAGACTACTAGTATGTCAGGATCGTGTAGATTGCTATGCTATAGGATCCGGTAGAAGTCGAGTGATTATCTATCACTCGCGAGAGATATGAAATATATTATTGTTACTATTATCATGTTACTATCACAGGGAATATATATGGATAATAATTTGAGACCGGGCGGAATGGTACTTTGGATCTGGACTTGGTTAGGCATTCGAGTGATGCTCGCATTGCATTTGTTCCGCCTGTGTTGATTAAGGACCGGCCGTTGCATTGGATTCTAGTCAGGTCGTAGACTTATTATCCTGAGCACATACTTACTTATGGGAGCGGGAAGGCTCGTTGCTCTCTTGTCATGGGTTCTGATTCTTTTCGAACCGACTGATTGGAGGCTGGGATGGTGGAGGTCTAAGCACCACACTGAGTTTAGGACTCAGGAGTGGGGGCTTGGAGTCCAAGTTTGGACAGAGACCTAGACCCTTTGACAGGAGAGTAGTGGGTTGGTCTTGCTTATGCCTGGGGTACAAACGGGGCGTGTATTTTAGGGTACCCAGCTGGGAAACATTGGTTCTTGAACCATCGTGTGATACGATACGACTTGTCTACTATCTAGCACCGTAATAAGAACTGGAATATGAAAGATGATAAAATGGTTCTGATTGCTTACTACCTGCTTAAAAGTAGCACAGGTGCTTACATAGAATGGTTAGTTAATGAACTAATGATGGCTTCTAATAAAATTAAATATAAGGACGCACGTTTAGTAACGCTTCCTGCAATACAATAACCCACAAGCCAAATAGCCTTGCATATCCTTGGAGTCTTTTATTTTTCTCCTGTCGGGTAAGTCTTGCTGAGTACAATCGAGTACTCAGGGTTTTATTCCCCTTGTTGCAGGTGACAGGTGAATGGTAAGGCTGACACTTATGTGTGAAAATCTCCTGGTGGGCTCAGCGAGGATTTTCTTACGATGCGGACATTGAGTTATTTATAACTTTCACCCAAAAATATTTTACAAAGGAAAGAATTACAATCCGTTATCATTCCATGTATATAGATGCTCCTCATGTTATCGTTTGAACTGTCATTACCTAAATTTTTGGTTTTCGCTGAAAACTCTGATAACATTATATAATCTGCTGTTATAATCAATTGGTGTGATACTTTGATGTTGTATTAAAAGAGATGTAAGAAATGGTTAAGCATGTTGTAAGCTTTAACCTCGCATTTATGATCCTGATGGAAAAATATGGATCTTCGAGTTCTCCCTCGGGGTGTGCTCGACGGAACTGCGTAGTTTAGTGTCCTCTCTTGAGTACTTAGTGTCTAATGAAAGACAAGTACTCCTGGGAGACATTGGATTAGACGGTTCTGCCACACCGCGCCGGTGGCTCCCCGTCACGGTCCCGCCTGGCCGCGTCGGCCACGCTCCGCTGTGGACCCACCTCGCCGCGCCCTGCTCCCTGCTCCTCGCTGCGGCCGCTCCTCGCCGCGCCGGCGGCTCCCCACCGTAGTCTCGCCTCGCTGCGCAGGTCGCGCCCACCGTGGACCTACCTCGCCCCACTCCCTGCCTCACCCCGCTGGCCGCGCTCTGCCGTGGACCCGCCTGGGCGCGCAGGCCGCGCATACCGTGGACCCGTCTCGCCCCGCTCCCTACCTCGCCCCGCCGGTCGTGCCACGCCGTGGACCCGTCTAGAAGCGTCGATGGCTCCGCTCCGCGGGCTCGCCTAGCCGAGCCGGCCACGCCTCGCCGTGGGCCCACCACTACGAGCGCCAGAGATTTGTGTCGTCTCTCTCGAAGATGCTTATTTGCGTTTCACCTCGGGTGGTATGCAAAATGGGTCCTCTGTTTGGGTCTTCTGTTGGACCGTGTTTTTGGTACGCAAAACACCGTATACGACGTATTTTGCGTTAGGGTTGTGCTATTGGAGACAGTCTTAGGTGACATATAAATGCATTTTGAGAGTTCATGGACCTAAGTGGTACACCGTGACAAGTTCATAGCCCCTTGGTGCATTTAACTCTTAATAATAAGATAAAATCCATTGGATTTTCATGAATATCCATTGTCATCCTTAGCTGCAGAAAGCCATGAACAAACAAGATTAATGAGGATGGGGTAGAGCGGTGCAGAGGCACAAGAAAAAAAGAAGAAAAAAAGACAAATGACTCTTATATGTCAATAATAGCTCATTCTACTTTTTAGTGTTCTCTAACCAAATATTAAGGGCATTGCTAGAGCGTGCACGCGCACGATTTGGTGTTTCAACGCACACACCTCTCTAGCACGCAGTTTTTAGTCACGAAAAAACGCCGCCAAATCTTCTTCCCCGACTTCGGCACCCTCACCCCCGCCGCCACCACCACGGCTGCGGCTCCAGAGCTCTGGCGAAACCCTAGCTCGCCCACGGCGCCACCTTCTTCCCCTCCCCCTCCCCCTCGGCGCCCCCACCATGGTCGGAGCTCCCCCGCCATGACCTAGCCCCGCCGCCTCCACCGTCGCCAGGGCCCTTAAACCGTCCGTCGACATCCCCACCGCCTGCCCGGCCTACCCCCCGGCTGGCGCCTTCTATACCCGCTGGAGTTGGAGAAGAAGAAGGGAGAGCTCGCTGGAACCCTAGTTCAGAGATCTAGGAGAGAGGGGAGAGAGAAAGAGAGAGAGGAGGAGGCATACCTGACACCGCTGCTAGATCCGGCGGCGTCGCCGTCGCATTTGCCATGGCCGCGCGTAGGGGTGGAGGTGGGGCGCGGGCATGGAGAGGTGGTCGTCGGGGAGGTGCTCGCTGGTGAGATTGTTGCCGGAGAGAGAGGGAGAGATGTGCAGGACAGCAACGGGCGGGTGGGGGTGGGGTGTGCGGTACGTTTTCATTTAATCACTTCCCAAATATGAAATATATTATCTAGCACCTAAATCTGTTCGTTTGAACCTATCAGCCCGACTTAGGTACAATGTTTTTCTCTCATAATAAAACAGCATCAGTCGGCTTATCAGCCATAGAAATCAACAGCCGAACAGCTCTTAAAAAAACCACACTATCTCACGTTATCTCATTGTCTCACCAAACCAAACAAATCATAACCTTTAATGGATGAAAACAGTACGGATATTTTCCGACCGCATTCGAGACCGAATCCGTTTAGAGGGTTCAGATCTGTCCGTATCCGAATATTCAACATCCGATACCGTATCCGTATCCGAATACTTAAATCGCATATTTATGATATCGACATCCAATCATATCCTATCCGACATGGCTGACACTATTCGTATTTAAATCCGAATCCGATCAAAAATATAAAAACAAATGTAATATCAGCCATGTCCATCCGTATCTGATCCGTTTTCATCGTTACCTTCAAAAGAAAAAACCAAACGAATCATGTGTAGCAGGCTTGCAGCACCTCTTCGTACACGCATCCACAATTCCACTGCCTCCTGCCAGGCACCGCCTGGCCGGCCTAGGCAGCGTCCGATTTTAGACGGCTGCGGGCGGCGGCTGTGATCGATGCCAGCACAAGTCCCCGCCTCGACCCCAGCCTGGCTGCCTCTATGGGTCCTCCGCCCCCGCTTCGCGCGCCCACCACCCGCTCGACGTAATGCCGCGCCGCCCCGCCGCGGACCGCCTCGCGCACCTCCCCGCCGCGCTCGCAGGCTTCGTCCGTGCGCGCGCTGCGGGGTCTGCCTCCGCGTGGTGCCGGTTCTCTTACGGCAACGCGCTGGCCGCCTGTGCCGCCGCCTCCGCGCAGTTGGTCTTCGCGGAGCAGCTCTACTGCGCAGCCTGGAAGGATGGGCTCTCGCGGGACGCGTACATCTGCAGCACCATGGTGGACCTGCTCGCCAAGCACGGCCGCCTGGGCGATGCGCTGCGGGCGTTCGAGGACGGGGATCGCGGAAGCGCGGTCTGCTGGAACACGGTTATCTCCGGGGCGGCGCGCAACGGTGAACACGCGCTCGGAGTCGAGATGTTCCGCGACATGGTGAGGAGTTCCTCCTGCGAGCCCAACTCGTTCACGTATTCTGGGGCGCTCAGCGCGTGCGCGGCTGGTGCAGAGTTGGGGGTTGGCAGGGCGGTGCATGGGATGGTGCTCCGGCGTGATCCCGAGTACGATGTCTTCGTTGGGACATCCATCGTTAACATGTATGTGAAATGTGGTCAGATGGGGGCTGCCATGAATGAGTTCTGGAGGATGCCAATCCGGAATGTGGTTTCCTGGACAACTGCGATTGCTGGTTTCGTGCAAGAGGAGGACCCAGTAAGTGCAATGCTGCTGCTTACGGAAATGATGCGGAGTGGTGTGGCAATCAACAAGTACACGGCTACGAGCATATTGCTCGCCTGCTGTCAGATGTCCATGATACGGGAGGCTAACCAGGTGCACGGCATGATTATGAAGACTGAGCTGTACTTGGATCATGTTGTCAAGGAGGCTTTGATTTCCACATATGCAAATGTTGGGGCTGTTCAGCTGTGTGAGAAGGTGTTTCAAGAAGTTGGCACAGTTAACAACAGAAGCATCTGGTCGGCTTTCATATCTGGGGTTAGCAGGCATAGCCTACAAAGATCAATTCAGCTGTTAAGGAGGATGTTATGTCAGGGCCTAAGACCGAATGACAAATGCTACGCTTCTGTTTTCAGCTCTGTTGACTCATCTGAGCTTGGCAGACAGCTGCATTCATTGGTCATAAAAGATGGGTTTATTCATGCTGTTCTTGTGGCAAGTGCGCTCTCCACCATGTACTCCAGATGTAAGGATTTGAAGGATAGCTACAAGGTTTTTGAAGAGATGCAGGAACGGGATGAAGTGTCATGGACATCAATGGTTGCTGGTTTTGCAACACATGGTCATTCAGTTGAGGCATTCCAGGTGTTAGGAATATGATTGTTGAAGGTTTTACACCAGATGATGTGTCGTTAAGTTCCATTCTTTCAGCCTGCAATATACCGGAGTGTTTGCTCAAAGGGAAGGAAGTTCATGGACATGTCCTTCGTGCCTATGGAGGAACCACGTCCATTAACCATTGCCTTGTTTCCATGTATTCCAAATGTAAAGATGTACAAACAGCTCGGAGACTTTTTGACGCAACTCCATGCAAAGACCAGATCATGCTATCTTCAATGATATCTGGATATGCTATTAATGGTTATAGTGAGGAGGCAATCTCATTGTTTCAGCTTATGTTGGCAGCTGGTTTTCATATAGATAGGTTTTTATGCTCATCTATTATTAGCATCTGTGCTGACATGGCACCATTCTATGGTAAACTGTTACACGGGTATTCAGCCAAAGTAGGCATACTGTCTGATCTATCTGTGAGCAGTTCACTTGTGAAGTTATACTCCAAAAGTGGCAACCTGGATGATTCTCGTAAAGTTTTTGATGAAATAGATGTTCCGGATTTAGTTACATGGACAGCGATAGTTGATGGATATGCTCAGCATGGAAGCAGTCAGGATGCTTTGGCGATGTTTGATTTGATGATTAGATGTGGGGTAAAACCAGACACTGTCATACTTGTGAGTGTTTTGTCTGCTTGTGGCCGAAATGGTTTGGTTGAAGAAGGGTTCAAACATTTTAATTCAATGAGAACTGTGTATGGGGTTGAGCCAGTGTTGCACCACTACTGCTGTATAGTTGATTTACTTGGTAGATCTGGGAGGCTTGTAGAGGCAAAAAGTTTTATTGAGAGTATGCCTGTGAAACCTGATTCAATGGTGTGGAGCACACTGCTTGCTGCTTGCAGAGTTCATGATGATGCTGTACTTGGACGTTTTGTAGAAAATAAGATCCGTGAAGAAAATTGTGATTCAGGGTGTTTTGCTGCTATGTCAAACATTCGAGCAAATTCTGGAGACTGGGAAGGTGTAATGGAAATAAGAAAATCAGTCAAGGATGTGAAGAAAGAACCTGGATGGAGTTTATTGGAAGAATAAATATGCTTCAATAGATATGTAAAAGAGGGTAAATACTACACAGAACTTCGAAACATGTGCGATGCGTTGGCATAAATTGGCTATAGAAACTCACCAAAACATATTGCAGCGTAGGTAACTATGTACTGAAGAAACTTCATATCTCTGAAAGATTTTTGAAAAACTTCTGTGATCTGCTTTCTAATTAGTGAATGTATTACAGATGTGTTCGGTTGAGGGACCAACTCATGTAGGATTGTTTGGTTGATCACTTTGTTATGGCCTTATGGGACCATTCCATGAATTTTTAGGTATATTTCCTGACTTTCTACATATTTTGTTGTAACAGGTAATGATTTGGTCACATGACACCGTTTTTTTTCAAATCCAGAGCAACTAGGTTTATACCATACAATTCCTCATACTTAACACCCAACAATATACTGTCTGACTTAAAACCTTAGCTACTATCTTAGAGAAACTAGAACAGTGCATCAGCTGGTCCTGGTTATATATATAAGTGATATTAGTGATACTAGATAACACTGTCGAGCCTCTTCCACTGTACTTTGCACTAGCAATTTTACTGAATCTTACGCATATTAAATAATTCTCAAGTCATTTCTCTCTACACGAAGAAGAATTGGCAGTTATCAAAAGTTCCCACTGATGATGGATCAGCTTTTGCAGAATTCGTTCTGTAATAATTTATTCACTGTTTCCCTAATATGGAATTTGCATATTTGACATGAGGTCACACTTCTAATTCTCAGTGAAATTATAAGGTATTCGTAATACTGAAAAACTGAATATATATTTTTTACTGAGCTGTTCTCTCTGATAGATTTTTTGCTAATGTGGGTACAGTTCATGTGATATAAAGCTAACTGAAAATGTTTAGTGGGGGTCTCTTCGTGTTATATATCTAACTATGTACAATATTTTTCAGTACAGCTGCTATTGGACATTCTATGGGTGGTGGGGGGCAATGGCCAGAATCACATGGCATATTAGTTTTCTAATCATCTGGTGAATCTATTCCTAAATCAGATGGCGAACATATTTCTTGTGGAATTCCACACATTGCTGGAACTGTATCCATCACCAGGTTTTATTCCAATACCTCCATTCGTGTCTATAGCCCGATGAACCAGGTACCTTTTAATTGGACAGTTAAGCTGTCCAAACTGTGTTCGGCAAAGCTTCAGACATAGTATTCCAGGGACCATTCTCAGAAGCACCAATGTGGCGTCTGATGGCAAATGGCCATTCTCTGACAGAGCTAAAGACAGACCGTGGTTGAAGTTTATTGCTTTATTGCACGAAGTGCCATCTTGCATTCTTGTGACTGTTGGGCTTTTGCTAATATGCCCCCTGCAGACTGTTGATTATGAATCAATTTCCTGAGCAAGAGGACCTTTCCAAAGCAAAATGGTAAGCTTGTATGGACTGCAAAGCAGATAACAGATTTGGCTCTGTTTTTTCAACCATCATTTTGGTGATTTCCTGCTTCATGTTTGGTTCGTATTTCATTGTGCAAATCATTATTGTTTTGACTATCATACCATAAGCCATAACAGAACTCATGTCATAGAATGATGCTCTGTACATTTTCGTTTTGTAGATTTTAGAAATATTTCTTTTTGTATACTTGAAAAAACTATAATCAGATGTAGTGATGCAGACACTGGCGGAGCCACCGCCCGGCCAGGTGGCCGGCTGGGCTCGCCGGCGAATTTAATGGAAAATTTCCTTTGTACGGAAGAATAGCACTGTAATTTATTAACTTTATTAGCTAAATACTTGTTGAATAATGAAGATTGCCCAGGCTTCTAAAAGCTTCTGCCTCCGCCACTGGATGCGGAGATGTATATGCTCTGTACGGACTGGAACTCCAGAAGCCAGCTTGTATTGCTCAAACTTCGTTTCATCACACCCCAATGCAGCTTTCTTGCTCTAATTTCTTTTATTTTGCTCTAGCTCTGTTTCTTTTCTTTTATTTTGCTAGTATTTGCTAGCCTAGAAAGATGATGGATACAAGATTTGAGACACAATCATCCTGCTTTAACATCATATTCATTGCCTTCTTATTTTCTCTCTCATCTCTCTTTCCTTTTCCCTTGAGGAACATGCTCCTCCAGCACGAATCAACTTTGCATGCCCTATCTTCTTTGAACATGGTACGATTCATTTCAGAGAGATGTATAATTCGCGTGTCACTATAACCTTGGAATATTGTCTTTGGCTTTCGGAGAGATGTACATTTGCGTGTCACTATAAGCTGAGAATATCTTCTCGGATAAAAACAGAGTGCTGCAATGGAGAAGAGCCGTTCTCTTCCCAGTTCCCACTTCCCAGCCATTTGTTTCGCTCTGCCACCACCCACCAGCCGGTTCTCCAACGTGTTCTTTTGTACCTACAATTAAGCCTTCAGATCAGCAAATCTAGACAAAAAGTCATACAATTTATATGCTGGCTCCGTTGTAAGTCTTTCTTGGCTTATCGTTTTTCATCTAATCAATTACTCCATTTGTCCTAAAACATAAGACATGTACATATTTAAAAATGGCAATATATCAGGTGCAAACCAACCAATCTGTGCAAACTTAGAAACTATCAATCAGAACTACTAGATGTTGATCCAAATTTAGAAACTATTAATCAGAACTACTAGATGTTGATCCAACGGATGGGGTGAGAGGACTTAAGCGCAAAAAAAGGCCGACGGGTGGGGGCTTAAGTGCAAAAAAATATCACCTCTCACCCCATCCATTGGATCAGCATCTAGTGGTCTTGATTGGTAGTTTTCAAGTTTACACAGGTTGATTGGTTTGCATCTGATACGTTGTCTTTAAAAATTTAAGCTTTGTTATATTCGATCAACAATTAGTCTAATCATATAAAAAGTTTGTAGTACAAAAGTGATTACAATAGATTTGTGTTTATAAACAATTTCCAAAGATCAAACTCTTGTTTTTATAAATTGTGCACTATATAAGAAATTAGTTGTTACAGTATAATTTTAAAGACCACACCAAATCAAATTGCGCCTTCTATTTTGAAGGCGAAGGGTTTTAAAGATGAAAAATAATTGCCATTCCTCATCCTACAATTGTTTCCCCTCGTCTTTCTTGCAACTGTTCTTTGTAAAGTAATCTACTGTTCTTCCAACGTGTGAACGCGCAGCAGGGGCAGGCACCGAAAGGCTCACCTGTCGCACTGTAGCCATAGCAGGGGCGGGCGCCAAAGTCAATCCTGCTGTCATATCTAGTCACTATAGCAGCATGACATGTGGTGTACTAGGATTAGATGGGTAGAGTTCTATATATAGTTTTCCACTGCAACTCAGTAAAGTGAGCAAGTTCAGTTTTGCCATCTTCTTTGCAGAACTCCGCCTAATGCTGGTGCTTGTGTTGTGTGTGCGCGCGCTCTGTTCTCCCTCTCTTCTTCTACCTCTAGCTATAGTGTGTGGTCGGCAACACCGGGGAGCGGTCGGCTCACCCGTGCCGGAGATCTAAGGGCCAACAAGTGGTATCGGAGCCGTTCAAGCGCCATCGCCAGCTGACGGACAGTTTGGAGATGGACGACAGCAGCGACGCTGTTGTGGCTGTCCAGCCACGACAGGAGGTCGTCGTGCGCACGGTGCGGGAGGTCAGCGGCACCAGTTGGCCGATGCTGACTCGCACCAACTATGGCGAGTGGGAGGTGACCATAAAGGTCAAGCTCAGAGCCCGACGGCTCTGGAATACCATTGACAAGGGCACCGACAACGAAGAAGACGACATGTCAGCGTTGGAGGCTATCATCGCTGCTGTGCCAGCGGAGTACAGGAAGCCGTTGGGGGCGAAGAACTCTGCTAAGGAGGCGTGGGAGGCCATTGCAGCGATGCGCGTCAGCTCCGACCGCGCAAAGAATGCGACGGACCAGCTGCTGAAGCAGGAGTACGCCACCCTCAAGTTCAAGAATGGTGAGTCGGTGGAGGACTTCTCCCTCCGCATGCAATCGCTCATCAGCAAGCTGAGGAGCCACGGTGTCACCATCGACGAAGAAGAGGCGGTCTCCAAGTACCTCCACTCCGTGTCGGTGAAGTACATCCAGATCGCTCTCTCCATAGAGACGATGCTGGACTTGTCCACCCTCACCATTGAGGATGTGACAGGCCGTTTGTGGGCGGTGGACGAGCACATGGAGCAGACCACAGCAACGACGGACAGCGACAAGCTGCTGCTAACAGAGGAGTGGGCTGCCCGGATGAAGAAGTCTGGGGAAGCCTCCTTCAGCCGCGGTGGTGATGGCAAGCGCCGCGACAAGGCTTCTTCGGAGAAGAAGGTCGACCCCAACGCCTGCCGGCGCTATGGGAAGACGGGCCATTGGGCAAAGGAGTGCCCAAATCGCAAGCAGGAGAAGACTGAGGCTCATTTAGCGTAGGCTGATGATGATGATGAGGCCACTCTCCTGATGGCGACGTCGCACGGAGGCGAGTTGTGTGACAGCTGCCTGGGTGGGAAGCAGAGGAGGCTGTCGTTCCCAAAGGCGGCCAAGTATCGCGCGGCGGACGCTCTCGAGCTCGTCCACGGCGATCTCTGCGGGCCAATCACACCAGCCACAAACGGTGGTCGACGGTACTTCCTCCTACTCGTCGATGATTGCAGTCGCTATATGTGGCTGCAACTCCTAACAAGCAAGGACGAGGCGGCGGAGGCGATCAAGAAGTTCAAGGCGCGCGCGGAGGCGGAGAGCGGCAAGAAGCTACGCATGCTGCGGACTGACCGCGACGGCGAATTCACTTCGGTGGAGTTCACTGCGTACTGCGCGGATCAGGGTGTGGTGTGACACCACACCGCGCCGTACTCGCCACAACAGAATGGCGTGGTGGAGCGGCGAAACCAGACGGTGGTCGGCATGGCTCGATCCATGATGAAGGCCAAGAGCATGCTAGCAAGGTTCTGGGGTGAGGCGGTGACCACGGCGGTGTTCATCCTCAACCGCGCGCCCTCCAAGGCTCTGAAGGGCAAGACACCGTTCGAAGCTTGGTGTGGGCGCAAGCCGAGCGTGTCCTTACTCCGAACATTCGGCTGCATCGGCCACGTCAGGAAGACGAAGCCGGTCCTCACCAAACTGGAGGACAGGAGCACACCGATGGTGCTCCTAGACTACGAGGAAGGTACCAAGGCGTACCGGCTCTACGACCCACGCGGAGGCAAGGTGGTTGTCTCGTGCGACGTCGTGTTCGACTAGAAGGCGGCCTAGGACTGGGACAGTCTGGGCACGGGGGAAGCTGGCGGCTTCACCAGCACCTTCATCGTCGAGCACTTGGTCATCCACGGTGGTGGACGCTGGAGAGGAGGTGCCGACCACTCCAGCAACAGAGCTAAGCACTCCTGGGGCGGTGCCGAGCACTCTGAGAGGGGTGCCGAGCACTCCAGGAGTGGTGCCGAGCGGTCCTGCAGTGGTGCTGACCACTCCAGGACGGGTGCGGAACGCTCCCGTAGCGGAGCCGATAGGTCTTGTAGTGGTGCCGACCACTCAAAGACTAGTGCCGAGCACTCCGGGAGGGGTGACGAGTAGTCCAGGAGTAGTGTCGAGCACTGTAGCCGGGGTGTCGAGCACCCCAGGTGCTGTGCCGACCACTCCGGCGGAACAGGGGACTCCATCGACGCCAATCGAGTTCGCCTCACCTCCAAGCGACATCACAGAGTTCGTGGATGCTTTCCACGACACTGAGGAGGTGCGGTTCCATAGGCTGGACGACATTGTCGGCGCACAGGGTCCTCAGGCCTGGCGGGTCGGCTGTTCAATGACCCAGAGCTGCTTCTCGTCAGTGTAGAGGAACCACCCATGTTCGCGCTGGCCGAGCGTGATGCAAATTGGCAACGGGTGATGCTGGAGGAGATGAAGGCGATCGAGGAAAACGAGACTTGGAAGCTCGTCGATCCACCTCTAGGATGTTGTCCGATCGGCCTGAAGTGGGTGTACAAGGTCAAGCGGGACGAGCACGGCACCATTGTCAAGCACAAGACGCGCCTTGTCGCCCGAGGATTTGTCCAGCGCGAGGGCATCGACTTCGAGGAAGTCTTTACGCCGATAGCGCGCATGGAGTCTATCCGACTGCTGCTGGCTTTGGCAGCAGCGAATGACTGGTACGTCCATCACCTTGACGTAAAATTGGCTTTCCTCAATGGCTGGCTGGCGGAGACGGTCTTCGTCAGGCAACCTCCGGGTTTCGCCGTCAAGGGAGCGGAGCACAGAGTGCTCTGACTGTGCAAGGCGCTCTACGGGTTACAGCAGGCCCCACGAGCGTGGAACACCAAGCTTGACGCCACGCTGGGCGAGCTTAGGTTCATGCGGTGCGCAACCGAGCACGCGCTCTACACGCGGCGACTGGGAAGGAGCTCGTCGTCGACGTGTATGTGGACGACTTGATCGTCACCGGCGCGCGTGTGGAGTACATCGACAGCTTCAAGCGCGAGATGGCGGCTCGTTTTCGAATGAGCGATCTCGGTGCACTCTCCTACTACCTCGGCATCGCGGTAAGACAGGGGAAGGAAGCGCTCACGCTCGGTCAAAGCGCGTACGCCTCGAAGCTATTGGAGCGGAGCGGTATGGCTGAGTGTAAGTCGTGCGTGACTCCGATGGAGGAGCAGCTGAAGCTGACGAAGGCCAGTACCGCGGCGAAGGTAGATGCAACACTCTACCGGAGCATTGTCTGCGGTCTGCGCTACCTAGTCCACACGAGGCCGAACATTGCGTTTGTCGTGGGCTACGTCAGTCGCTTCAAGGAGGATCCCCGAGAGGATCACTGGGCCACGGTGAAGCGGCTGCTACGCTACGTCAAGGGGACAGTGGATCAGGGGATCGTCTTCCCCAAGACCGGCGGAAGTGGGCTGCAGCTCACTGTGTTCAGCGATGCAGACATGGCGGAGGACATCGACGGATGGCGGAGCACCTCTGGCGTGCTCATCTTCCTCGAGTCAGCTCCAATCTCATGGTTGTCGCTGAAACAGAAGGTGGTGGCGCTGTTCACGTGCGAGGCAGAGTACGTGGCGGCGGCCACAGCGGTGTGCCAAGCTGTGTGGCTGCGCCAGCTGCTGGGCGAGCTGACCGGTGTGGAAGCTCACCCACCAGCATTGATGGTGGACAACCAGCCCGCCATCGCCCTCACGAAGAATCCGATTCTTCACGACCGGAGCAAGCACATCGACATCAAGTTCCACTTCCTCAGGGATTGTGTCGATGGAGGGCAGATCGTCATCGAGTTCGTCGAAACTGGTCGGCAACTCGCGGACGTCCTCACCAAGTCGCTCGGCCGTCTTTGGTTCACGGAGCTGAAGAAGATGATCGACATGGTGAAGGTTCTAGGGTTAGCAGCAGGATTAGGGAAAGAATTATAAAGTAATCTGCTGTTCTCCCAGCGTGTGAACGCGCGGCAGGGGTAGGCGCCAAAAGGGCTCCCTGCTGCTGCCCTATAGCCGCAGCAGGGGCAGGCGCCGAAAGGCTCCCCTGCCGCACTGTAACCACAGCAGGGGCGGGTGCCAAAGTCAGTCATGCTGTCACGTCTAGTCACTGTAGCAGCATAGCAGCCTGACATGTCTGTGTACTAGGATTAGATGGGTAGAATTGTATATATAGTTCCCACTGCAACTCAGTAAAGTGAGCGAGTTCAGTTTTGTCATCTCCTCTGCAGAGCTTCGGCCAACGCTGATGCTTGTGCTGTGTGTGTGCGCGCTCTGTTCTCCCTCCCTTCTTCTACCTCTAGCTATAATGTGTGGTCGGCAACTCCCCGGAGCGGTCGGTTCACCCGTGCCGGAGATCCAGGGTTTGAGCCCTTTATTTGATCCTTGCAACGACTCCATTCATTATGTTTATTCTTACAAAAAAAGCAGCTGTTTGCCTTTTTCTCAAATGACAAATTGGCATACCCCCTAAATAATCATATTATCTCAATTCCCTTCGACCTTTCAAGCGCAGCAAGTCCATCCGGCCGTTTCTTGTCATCTACGTAACAATGAAAAATTTTACCACCAGGTACTATTGCCATTCTTTTGTACTTTCTCTATTCCAAATTATAAGATGCTCTGACTTTTATAGATACATAGTTTTTTCTATGCAGATATACACTATGTCTAGTTACATAGTAAAAATAATATATCTAAAAAATTCAAAACATTGTATAATTTGGAATGGAGAAGTATTTGCTTATGAGTTAGTACTATATGCACTGAATTGCTCATCTTTTTCTCATGATCATATAGAGTACGTGTGGTTGCGGAGCAGAGTTTGTGAGAGAAACACATATTGGCCACCTCAGTTCAAGCAAGGAGGTATCACTACCAAACTATATATACGCTTGTGAATCACACGAAGTCACACCTTGAAATTTTCTCATAAATAACAACCAAAAGAGGCTAATCAATGCAAGGAGGCAAAAAAAAATAAGCACCACTTAGCATGCCACATATCTAACTATTTTGTTTCTATATATATATATATATATATATATATATGTGGGTGGAATTGCACTGTGGGACTTCTTCCTCATGCTCCATTACTTAAACACATAGCAATTCTTCTGAGCATATATGTAGACATGATGACAAAAAAAAAACTTCAAAAAATAACACAAATACCCCCAAAACACAACCTAAACTATAAGAGATGCAATTTATGAAATGCTAAACTACTTTATTTCCCCTTTGTGCAAACAACTATGCGATTCTGTGTTTATAGCTGGTTCAAGAAATCACTTTGATCACTCGCAGGTTCTGTGCAAATTGAGAATTTGCGGCAAATAGTAAACATAAGTCATGGCAGAATCATTTCCCTTGGACCAATCGATGTTGGACAAATGGCGTGATCGTCTACGAGATATCGACTTCTGGTATATTTTTTTTTAACCATCTGAATTTTTAGTTTAGATTTACAGAGAGAATACTAGCCATGAGCCCCCCTTCCCTCTAATGGTATCCCAATATTCATGCTGGGCAGCATAAACAAAAAATATTTATGTTAGTTATTCCTTATCTTGAGATTTAGAACCTGTTAACATGCATGAATATTGGTTTCACACCCAAAGCGCTAGATCGCACATATCGTAAATGGACTAAACAACGCACACAGAAATTGCAAATACCAGACTGTCCGGTGGTGGATAAAATGCAAGCACCAGACAACTGTTACTGCTAGAATGTAGATGAGTGAAACACACACATCAGACAGTCCGAAGGTAGCAAAATTGCAAATGCTGGACAAACACCACGGTGCTCGTGGCGGTGGAATTGTGAGTGCCACACCGTCCAGTACTTTGATTTCGCCAACAGTTGATAACCACAAGCAATGTTTATATGGTGTTTATTTGTTTGTAAACATGCAGAAAAAGATGGTACTACTTGCTCATCCAGCACCCATATTGATTCTTATACTACTTTATTTTAAAAAAGTGTCAAATAATGAGAAATAATGAACGCGAGGAAGGGGAAAACAGAGTAGATGATCATCATAACTAACTACTCAACAATCATGAGCGCGATGCATGTAATTAAAGTGCATGCAAGTTATTCGAAGGACTAATTTAATTAGTATTCCCCCTTTTCTATTTGTGTGGTCAGGCTAAAAGGGTATCTCCACAGCGATGCATACTATAGCTTGCGGAAAAAATTGGTTGCCTATAAGCACATACAGTGGAATGTCGGGGTCGGACCGACAGCAAGTTTCACACAAGCTATAATAAGCATCATCTGGGAGGAAAAGATGAGGTTGGATGGTCCCTTTGATCATGTAATCGAGGTGGACATGAAGCAAGCATCAAGGTCAAGGACGAGGCTCAACATTAATGAGAGACTGGCCATCAAAGTGGCAGAGCAGCTCGGTCTGCTCGCTCTCAACCAAGAATATTATTACAGCAGGCTCAAGGAAGAAGATTATGAGTTGCAGTACTATACGTACGGGATGATGGATTGCTCAGACTCACTACACAACTTGTCAAGGTCAATGGTTCCTCACATTCTTCAAAAGCTGTTGGGGAAGAGGTACATGCTTGTGGTTCAGAACATAGACGAGCCAATCAAGATTGATGCTTTAACACAGGAGGTAGGACTTCCACCTCCTGCGTGGGAAGGCTCTTTCTGGATCATGTCCACCACCTCCGAAGATGTCTATGACGATAGCAAGTCATCAGATAACGAGTGTGTCGTCCAATCCTTTACTGGGGATGATATATTGATCCTTGCTGTCTACTCACTACATCAAGCAGCTAAGTACATATCTAATGTGATCGCCAACAAAGACGAGCAGCATTGGCACCTTGTGTCCCTTTGGTGCTTCCACTATGTTGTAATACTGCTCAATCCTCCCTTTGCTGGTGGCATCGGCGAGAAGTCCTTGAACAAGCTAGAGAAGCGGGTCGTCGTGCCATCCTCTGTCATGCCCCTTGGCCGCCGGCGATTGACCGCCGTAGACGTGACATCCTCGCTCTTGGATAGTGATGATGATGCACCCTTGGATAGTGATGATTATGGATCCTTGGATAGTGATGATGATGCATCCTTGGATAGTGATGATGATGCAGTCGTCACCTCCTCCTCGGCTGTTGAGGTTGCCCCCATCCTGCGTGCTGCCAATGAGGTGGAGGCCATCAACCCACATGTCGCCTTCCTCTGTAAGTCAGCCGGCCTGGTCTCCAAATTTGTTTTCTTCCCTCCTGTCCCTGTAGTAATAATTGACTTATTTCTTCACAAATGCGTACTCCCTATATGTTCCAAATTATAAGCTGTTTTGACTTTTTTTTGGTACATCAATTTTATTATGTATATAGATATAACGTATGTCTAGGTACATAGTAAAATTTATGTACCAAAAAAATCAAAGCGACTTATAATTTATTGGAACGGAGGGAGTACTTGATACTATCATCAGGCCGCTTCTATGCCTTCGAGAAGGCTCATTGCCTTGACCCATCCCACGAGGGTCGAGGTGTCAGCAAGTTCCTAACTGCACTCCAACGAAGGCTTGAGAGGGATAGCGACTCAACACTTAGGGGAAGGGTCAAACGTAATGACTCCAGAGAAATGAAGAGTTTCTTGCAGCACTACCACAAGAAGTACATCCAGGAAGTGCTGGAAGATCCTAGTATAGTGGACAAGTAAGTAACCAGCTTCCCTCTTCCCTCACTTGCAAAATTGCACTCGTTCAATTCTTTTACTTTCAAGCTTCTTCACCCACACACACTTTTTTCTAAAAAAAAACTTCCATTCTGCAATTTCTCAGGAGTCAACTCAGTAAAAGGTATCAAACCGCTGCTGTGCTATCTGAAGTGCAATCTGCTGTGTACCACGGGCTTAGGATTCCTGATGCACTGGAAAAAGATATTACCTCAGATAAGTATGAGCTGATATGGCAATGGGCCTCCCACGGCATCCTACTTGCCACCAAAGGAACTGTCCGAGAAAGAATAGGGGAGGTGACAGACAACTACCACGGCAAATACAATGATGACAATGTATATCAAGTTGGAAATGTCATCCTTGAGACATTTCAGGAGTACTCATTGCTACAGCTACCCTTTTCTTCTAAAGCTATTAAAGCTGATGATGCCACGAAGACAGCTGCACACTTCTTAGCATATCACGGCCTCATTGCAGAGCAGCTGGCTATAGATGAACTTTGGGATGACCATCATCATCCTAGGTTGGAGCACATGAGGTGGATCTCACATGTGGATGACCGAGGATGGCAAATAAGTAGAGAATGGTTGAGCCACGGGCCTAGGGGCCCGACCACACATATTGAAAGGCGTTGCTCACCAAGCCTTTTTGCGAAGCTTGATCAATTGTTGTTGCCCAAGCTCCTTGATCTTCATGTTCTTGATCTCTCATATACTGAAGTAGAATCACTCCCTCCTTCAGTCTGCTATCTACAAAAACTCCAATTGCTTTTCCTCAAGGGATGCCATAAACTCACAAATCCATTCAGCTTTCCAAGTACCAAAAGAACAATCCCTGGAAAAAATAGCAACAATAGGATTAACTTGCTCTACCTAGATCTCTCCTACTCAAATGTAGAAACTTTTGATAGTGACTTCTTCCATAACATGCCTAGTCTACAAGAGCTCCTGCTTGTCGGTTGCTTCAACCTTGTGGAGTTGCCACCCTCCATTGCTACATTGTCTAGTCTAACAACACTCAAGCTCCCAAGGACTCGGATAAAATCTTTCCATTACTGGGAGATATTTAACAAAATGAAGAAGCTCCGTTCACTTGAGCTAATTAACAATGGGGGGTTCGAAACTGAGAAAGAGCTAAAACTAGAAGGGCATCCTACCCTAAGATCATTCTTATTGGTTAGCGCACCCTATATAAGGAGATTGTCCTTGAATGGATGTAGAAATCTGGAGTCTGTGGACACTCTCAAGAAGTTTAATACTTTAGAGGAGCTTGATCTTTCTGCTACTGGTATCAACGAGCTCCCAGCCGACATCCCTAATCTACCCTGGCTTGGACGATTGCTTCTCATAGGTGTTCCTGCTCTAAGGCGCTTTCCTTGGCATGATCTGAAACGACTCCCAGATATGTTTTGCTTGGATCAGAGCTTGGAGGGAGAGGGAGTTCATTCTAGTCCACAAGTTGCTCAGATGGTGATCACCAACGATTCCAGATTGTTTTATAGCTTCAACGAAAACACTAGGAATTTAGTGAGGAGTGGACATGTTATGTGGCTGCTAGGATTGAGAGTGAGAGGCGGCGACGGAGCTACAGTACCCGCGGGTACTGTTCACACGAGGGAGAGAGGGCAGGAACGGCTGGCTCCCAGGGGAAGCCAGCAACTTAATTGTTGCTTCTTGCTTGATTATAACTGATACAGTGTTCTCTTTTTATAGAGATGATTGACTTGACCCCTAAGGAAATATCCTAACCGAATCAATCTAACATCTATCTTTCCTAACAAACCAAACCACATATCTCTTTCCTAACAAACCAAACAATCTAATCACACGCTACAGTACCACGTTGCTACAGTACCGCATGGGCCCCTGGGCCAGCTCCGGCTCTACTTGCCATAACAGGACAACTTTTGAAGGCTTTCTACATTCAAGTTAAATCATGTAAGGCCAAAATCAGGAAGATCAATGATGAAGATGACATGGTGACCAGCAACATGCTTCAGGTATCTGTCTCAACCTATGCTGATGTAAAACATAGCTATCTAACAGAGGGAGTCTCTATGGTATCAATGGATGACATGCTTCCCTTCCAGGTGACCGAGCGTCATGTGGAGATCTCAGCAGTAGATCGGTATCCCGCCGGTCTAACCCATGTTCTAGAGGTCACCAAGTCGGTATGTATGATGGATGATACCCATGCCACCAGCCTCGATGGTCTAGAAGAATGCAAGCTCAGGCGGTGCCATCGCATGGTGCATGTATTTGAGATGGGGACATATCTAGGGAACAATCTGAAGAATGCATGGGTCTCCTATCTCAAAAGTCTCACCCATTTCTGCAGACCGTCTGGCAGTGGTGCCACCTTCCGTGCACTCAAGCATGCCCGTCTGGAGCACTGCCCAAGGTTGGAGGGCTTCATGCCAAGTGACTGAGCTGCCAAGCCTCGTAACGCTCGACATCCTCTTCTGCTACAACCTAAAGGCAATATTTTACAACAATGGCCATCATTCTTCTCCTCGCCCTTACCAGCTCCCTTGCCTCCAAAAGATACGCCTCCAGGAGTTGCCACTGCTGGAGCATCTCTACGTTGGCGACGCCATCCTCACCGCACCCAAGTGGGAGGAGTTCCAGGTCCGTGGGTGCTGGAGCTTGCGTCGTCTCCCTCGCCTCCACCAACAACCAGACAAGGCCGTGAAGGTGAGTGGTGAGCAGGCCTGGTGGGCGAAGCTACTCTAGGACGACCAAGGTGATGGTGCGCACCACCACCGCAGTGTATACAAGCCCAGCCTGCCTCCAGCTTTCACCTTCGTCCACGAGCGCTTCGTCATCAAGAGCTACCTCAGATGAAGACATCCATGTTATTCGGTACGTGGTGAAGGTATCAAGAGCTACTCTAGGACAGAGGAGATTGCAGCAATATATATGTGTGCTTGCTTTCAGTATGTCTAGCAACCTTGCATGCCCTGTGTGAAACTGCTTGTCTAATAGATTTGTTTATATATAGTGGGGTGTATATATGAGCTTTGTCTGCCGTCATAATTTGCATGCACCTCTATGTCGCTCATTGCTTTATTATTGTAATATAGAACATATGTGCAATGTACCTGTGCTTCTGATGTCATATACGCTACTGTTTGATTAAATATACTCCTAATCTAGATTTCTAGTTTACCAGCTCACACCAGCTGAGTGTGAAGCTAATACGTACGATTAGTTTCAAATATTTAGTTTTATGTGATTCATGGGCTCATCGCCTTCTAATCTGCTGTCAAGAGAATTATGCACGAACAGCATTTAAGTACCGGCATTGTGGATCGAGTTTCTTTTAAATACAGAAACGGGACAAGGAGGGGGCTAAATAATTTAAGGCTAAAAATCTTACTAGCCGCACATTAATAGATATAACAAAGAGCACAATTGATGATATCAATTCAAAGTGCTCAAGCAAAACATATACCATTTTAGATAGAAATGTTATAGTTCTACATAAGAATACAATGTTATAGTTCTTCACAAAACAAAATAGCATTACGAATTGAGATGAACGAATACAATACGCACCATTCATTCCTCATGCCATTGCGAGACAAATTTATCATACGATTTCTTCAGCCTTGAAAGCGCTTTAGAATTTTCTTTTATCTTCAACCGATGCAAACAAATCCCACTCAATATTTCATATCGGAAGCTCCTATGCCCCCTACAGTATGAAATATTTCAAATTGAAATGCATTTATTAGGAACTAGTCAATGACATTCGTTGAATATCTGAAAACTGAAATCCAACAAGGCAACAAATAGACACATGCTACATCTCACCTTTCCTGTGCTGTGCACGGTACACATGCAGCAGGGGTCTGGGGACTGGGCGGCCAGCCCCGCCGACGCGCCGTGGCTCAGCAGCAGTGCCGCTGGTCGCCTGCTGCTGCTGAGCGCGGGCGCGGAGAGCCAGAGTCCAAAGAGGAGAGTGTGAGGCGGCGAGACGGCAAGGCCGCGAGGGGCGCCTCCGGGCTGCGGCTAAGCTCCAGCCTCCGCCGACGACGACGCGCCGTGGTTCTGCTGGCCGCGCCGCCGCGGTCGTAGAGACCCGGAGCGGAGGGGAAGAAGACCCGGCGACGCCACGAGGAGCTCCGCTCCGGCCTCCGGACTCCCTCCTCAGTCCTCTCCGTGCATCGGGGTCGCCGGTCGCCGAGACGCGGGGCGGCCACAGGGCCACTCAGGCTGAGGGGCTTTGTTGTTGGGCCGGAGGGGGGGCTGATAGGCTGGCATAAGGATTTGTTTCAAAGAACGGCGCACCCGGTCCGTCCGACTGTCCCGATCTCCGCACAAAACCACGCTCGTCTTCCGCACGGAACAGAACGTCGGTCCTGCACGGAACCCCGTCCTGCCCCCGCACGGAACCACGCCCGCCCCCGCACGGAACAGATTAAAAACGGAACTCGCCCTTCTCTCCTTCCCAACGCGCTCCTGTCTCCCGTTCCTCGACGCACCCCGTTCCCCACCGCGTCCCTTTCCAAAAAAGCATGTAACATTTCAACTACAACATTACAAAAACATATGAAAAAACTATGTAATACAACATCAGGTTGTAAATACTATAGCATAAAAAAAATATGTATTGCAATATTGAAAAATATGCATTGTAACAGTTGAAAAATATCTACTGCAACAACAAAAAAATATGTACTACAATATCGAAAAATATGTACTGCAATATAAAAAAACATGTACTGCAATATCGAAAAAACATGTATTGCAACATCGAAAATTATGTGCTACAACATCGAAAATTATGTACTGCAACATCTCAAGCAGTAGTACTGCAACATCACAAAAACATCTATTACAACGAAACAAAAATCCCATTGCAACATTTGAAAAACATATGTTATAACATCCCAAAACACCCATTGCAACACAGAGAAATAGAGCTCGCCGGAGGGAGGAGGGAATAGGACCCTAGAGCTCACCGGAACCCTAACCACCGCCACGTCCCTCAGATCCAGAGGAGGAGGACGAGGGCTCAAATATAAAGGAAGAGGATGAGGAGGGCTCAGATAGCGTCGTCGGAGCTGCCGCCGTCATCCTCGTCTCCGGTGGAAGGAGCGGGAACCAGGTCACGATGGAGGTTGCTTAGGGGGAAGGGAGGGAGGGAGGTCATTGAGGAGGGAGGGAGGGAGGTCGCTGAGGGAGGGAGGCAGGGAGCCCGGGCAGGCAGGACGGTAGCAAGCGGAGATGACGTCGCGGCGTCCGTCAAGGGGGAGCTTGAGGGCGCATGGCAATGATTTCTTTGGGGGCACGTGGTGGCGGATGGAAATGACGAGCGGGGCTCGGGAGAAATCGATGTGCACGATCACAGAAGGGGCGATGACCGACGCTCGCTCTAATTGGGCCGCAGGCCCAGATGCGCGACGTCCGGACGGGGCGGACGCCCGCACAGCATCATTATCGTTCAAAGAAATTTGGGCCGCGCTCGAGGACAATGCCCTATTCCCAAATCTGTCGAAAATCTTCCGATCCGAACATTCGGACCGGAGCCGCCTGCTGAACGGCGCGTGGGAGTCACTGCGCGCCAAAAGCACGAGGTACATACGTCATTTCTTTTTCTTATTTTTCTCATTTCTTTTCTTTTTCTTTTCCTTTCTTTTTCTTTCTCTTTTTATTTCCGTGCTTCATCTTTTATTTTTATTTCTTTTTTGTTTTATGTGATTTTTATTATTCTTTTCATTTTTATATGTTTATGTTTCTTTTTTTCTTTCCTTTCCTTTTCTTTTTATTTTTTATCTTTTCTTCAATTTATTTTTTATTTTTGTTTTTTTCATTTCATGTGATTTTTTATTTTTCTTTTCAACTTTTATATCTTTATTTATTTTATTTATTTATTGTTTTTACTATAATTAGTTATTTTGTTTGTCTTATTTTATTTTATTTTTATATTTTATTCTTTTTTGTTTTTCTTTCTTTTTCCTTTTCTATTTGTCTTTATGTTTTCTATAGATTTTTTTATATTTTTATTTTCTATTTTACCTTACATCACATCTATGACATTTTTATATGTTCATTTAGTATACTTGTGATGTTTTATGATGTATTTTGTGATGATCACGTATGCGATGTTCTATAATATATTTATTGATGTTCTATGGTGTATTTAGTGATGTTCACTTAATTCACATGTGATGTTCTACGATGTATCTAGTGATGTTCACATAATATATATGCGATGTTCTATAATGTATTTAGTGATGTTCTATGGTGTATTTAGTGATGTTCACTTAGCACAGATGTGATGTTTTATGCTGTATTTAGTGATGTTCTATAATGTATTTAGTGATGTTCTATGGTGTATTTAGCGATGTTCACTTAGTGCACATGTGATGTTCTATGATGTAGTGATGTTCACGTAATATATATACGATGTTCTATAATATATTTAGTGTTGTTCTATGGTATATGTAGTGATGTTCACTTAGTACACATGTGATGTTCTATAGTATATTTTAAGATGTTTGAAAAGTATCCTGTGATGTTTTTTTAAATTATTTTTTATTACGTATTTTTTTTTTTTTTCTTATGCTTTGCTCTAGATTTTATTATTATTATTTATGTTATATATTTATTTTATTGTTATGTATATTATAATACCAATTTCATGAACCTAAAACTAAAATATTGTTCTTCTAAACCGAGAACATTTTTCTTCTAAACCAAGAACGTTTTTCTTGGAAAGACGGAACATTATTCTCTAAACCTAGAACATCGTCTCTGTTCAATAAAAGAAAATATTCTATCTTCATAAAATAAACGTTCGTTAATAAAATTTTACCTAAATATATTCATGTAGGGTCTTGTTTTGAATGATTTGTTGCAAAAAAACCGGATTGTGTAATCGGAATTTAATTTAGATGTTTGGTTTAAGAGTTATGATTTTTTTTAGTTGAAAGTCACTGCTGCGTGAGAAACAGTGACGCGCAAAGAGCATAGCTTAAATTCTTTATAGGAGTGATGTCTTTTTGTGTTCCCGACGTCCCATTTTAGAAAAGCTTTGCGGTCTCTAAATAACTGTGAGCCATTCATTTAATTAGATCGGATGGTTAGAATCATCTATTGCTTTCTAAGAGGTAATATGTGAAACATATATTTAATTAGTTTCAAATTTTATGAAATATGATACTTAAAGAAAGTTTTAGGTATAAAAATATTTTTTCTAGATCTAATTGATGCATGTGTGATCTATTGAATATAGTAAATCTTTTTTATTTTGCAACTTTAGACATAACATAATTTAATTATCCATAGCTGCCGTGAGCTTTTTTTTTACATCTAAGAGCATCTCCAAGAGTTCCCTAAATACCTTCCTAATTCTTAGTTTTTAGCAAGATGAGAAAAAAAACCCTCTCTAACAACTCTTAATCCATCTTCCTAATCTTTTAGAACTTGAAAAAAGTCACCATGTTTTGCGTAAAATTACGCGCTTTCGAGTCGTGCGTATCTTCTCTTCTCGTACGTGTTTGTTGGCCAATCTAAAGGTGGAAGGGCGTGGAAAAAATAAAGAATAGTAAAGGGTTCCTGATGCAAATGTACAAGAGAGAAACAATTTATAAAAATGGTTAGGATAATTTAGAAATAATATAGGATTTCTGATGCAAAATTGTATTCTTATTTTAGGAGTGGATTATTAGAAACTGTTGGAGATAATCTTATTTATTCCTCCTAATACTTTTTTAAGAGTTGAAAAACAATATGTTTTTAGGAAGACAAAAAAAAGGTACTCTTGAAGATGCTTAAGTCTCATTCCCAAATCCACATACCGTGACCGTGATCGTCTCGATGCGAAATCCAGGCACGTACGTGGACCGTGACCGTGTGTTTTATGCATGTATAAGTTCTCGTTCCTAAATCCACGCGTGTGACAACACATGTAGCTTCCAACATACGTAACAGCACATGTATGTAGCACGTTGCTATGAGAGGCTACATTCAATGTAAGTTGTTCTTTATTCATATATTTTTTCCTATTAAGATAGAGATGGAGTTATGTGTCCGTGTATTAGGACGACGCACAAAGAGCTTAGCTTAAATTCTTTACTAGCGACTAATGTCTTTTTGTGTGCCCGACGTCCCATTTTAGAATTGCTGGAGATTTGTGATTTGCCCAAGACCGTAAGGTTGAACACAAGTATACTGCCATTAGCAAGATAAGCGAACGTATTTGCTAAAGATCGAGTCCAATGGCACGCAAATAGACCGGACAGCCTAGTCGCATGAAGTTACCTGAGGTGTGCCATTAAGTAACATGTGCAAAGCACAATGATAAGTAACCAAACCTCACAGAGTGTAGAGACATGCCTATCTAGACTGCTCAATTGTAGTAGCACCTTGCCGGTGCTGCAAAAATGATTTTTATAGTTGGCTCCAATTTTCTTTCTTAGAAATATATGGTGCGCTTATAGGAAACTGTCTCTAACAGACTCCAAATCAGGCGCTCTATACATATATTTTAATTAATTGTCTCGGTGAGAGGAATACAACGATGAAGGTCATTCTGCATTTCAAAACATATCAAGCTGTTTTTTCCACACAGAAAAATGTGTCGATTCTAGGTGCGAATAAATATCTTTTGAGTTAAGTGTTTTGTCATTATGGTAAGTCACAACCCCTGTATATGTTTATCCGAATAAATATCTTTTGAGTTAATGTGTCGATTCTAGGTGTGAATAAATATCTTCCATTGGCATGCTGGTGAACAAATTTGGTGTTTGCATCTGCAAGTTGATCCAGGTTAGTCTCAATCTTTGTATAATTCTTGGACTAAGGGTCTGTTTGGATCCCATAATCTAAAGTTTAATTAGACCACTTTAGTTCTTGAGGCTCCAAACAAATGATCTAAAGTACTGTCTAAAATTTAGTCCACCTTAATTATTAGTTCATTAGACGACTTAAATAAACTAGAGTGGTCTAAAATTTAGTCCTTAATTTTAGCCAACTAAACTTTAGACCACGGATCCAAGCAGGGCCTAATTTATCTACTGTTTCGTGATGGAATTAGCATGTTTGACATGAAGGGCACACCTTCAATTCTCAGCGAAATTATAGGGTAATTCATAATTACTAAACAGCTGAATATATTATTACCAAGCTATTCTCCCCTCTGATACCTTTGCTGTTAACATGGGTATACTCTGTGAGATATAAAGCTAACTGAAAATGTACGATAGGTATTCTTCTGCTAAGGTAGCTCTTACTGTACATCTAACTATGCATAATATATTTTTCAGTAGAGTTGCTATTGGACATTTCTGCGGGATGTGGGGAACAAGGGAGAGAATGACATGGCATGTTGCTTGTCCAATCATCTGGCGAACCTACCCCTAAATTAAATGGGAATTTTATTTTCCCTGGGATTCCACACTCATTGCCTGAACTGTATCCATTACCAGATTTTCTTGTACATGCGTCACCATCACTATTTCCAATACCTCCACTCGAGTCTGTAGCCCAATCAACCATATATCCATTGGATGGTCCAAGCAGTCCAGACTCTGTGTTTGGTATAGCTTCATTCATACTGTTGAGTATTCCAGGGGCCATGCTTAGCATCATTGATGTGACATCTGATGATTTCTGCTGAGATTGTATTTCTAATGGAAAGATGACTGAACTACTATGGATGTCTTTCTCTGATGGTAGAGATGGGCTACGGTTGAAAGTTATGACTTTACATGGAAAGCCATCCTGTGAATTGTTAAGATTCTGCTGCTGTTGTCCCTGCAGACACTGTTGTCTGTTGAATCGATTTGCTGAGCAGGTGGAGCTTTCCAATGCAAAATGGGAAGCTTGTATGGACTGCAAAGCAGATAACAGCTCTGGCTCTGTTGTTGTAATTGATTGAGGACCCCAGGAGTGAGATAGCACTCTTTGTGCCACAGAATTAGGCTTTTTAAATATCCTGCAAATAGCCCATGCATCCTGTTTGATAAAAGTAAAGTATGAGAAAAATGCAGCACATATATTTTTTATTTTCTGAACTTCTGTGCTAGAACTGAATGCTCTGAGTAAAATGCTTACGTTGGCTGGAATGTCTTTTGGTGTTTTATGACGTGAGGGGTCATTGAGTGAAGGAAGCCTGTACTCATGCATCATCCAGTCAGTCTTGATTCCTCTCGCTGCTCTCCCTTTGTAAAAGACAAGGGACTTCTTCAGGCCTATGCACTTGGTCCCTTCAGAAGAGTAAACTGGCCTATCTGTTCCTGTTGCTTTCCAGAATCCAGCTCCTGTGACTCTATTTGGTCTAGCACTATTCCGATACTTCCGGTCCCTTGGGCAGTAAAAGTACCATTCCTTCTCCCCGGTGCTCGCAAGCTCTACGCAAGAACATGATGATAAATGATTGCAGCAAGTAAAGTTGAATATAGCAAGGCATGAAGTAATAAAATGATGCAGAAAGCCAAGTAAACTATATATCGTAGTCTGATGGGAAGGTACTAATAATATACTAGGTGCTCATTAGTTTGAAAACAAGTAGCTCGTGCTCTAGCAAACAAGTGTAGAACGAACTCATTAAAAACCGCTACTATGTTCATAGACATTGAACTCTAGGCACTGAAGTTCATAGCCATTTAGTGACAGGAAGAACGATAGGTACAGTACAGAGATGGAGTCGCTTACTTGGGAGATCCCATGGATCATACTTGTAGATGTCCAGCTGCCTAATGAGCTCAATGGACACAGGTTTTTGCTGAATCTTTCTCTTGAGATAAAAGCTTATGAGCTCTTCATCTGTAGGATGGAACCGGAAACCTGGAAGAAGAACCTCATCAGACTTGTCCATATCAGCTCTCTCATCCATGGTTGAGGCTGGTGAAGCCAGATCCTGATTGCCTGTTCTTGTGGTACTTATGTGGAGGTAGAATGGTTTTTAGAACTGAAGATGCTCAGATAAGACAAACGGCCAAAGCTGTCTCTCTGAAGTGAAACCAGTATCACAGCAAATTACTATATGTACTCACTACTGAGCTTTGTTTCTTGAACAAAGATGTCACGGCTCTTATATAGCACATCTTTACGACGAACTGCTTCTCATTAGATGAACGTTGCCAAAGACCTCATCCTACACGTCTTGTACTTATTCCGGGTCATAAACGTCAAAGGCGGGTGGTTAACGTAGGAGTAATGTCTAATCTGTGCATTAGAAAAGTATAATCGCAGCTGCTAAAACACGACTCTCAAATGGGAGTGCTTCCTTTCATTAAAGAACTCCTATATTCCTTGTCTCGCTGAACCTATTTGACATTTTTAATCAGGGATTATATTATATCAATGAAGACAATCTTAGCAGCATATAGGGACTATTAGTCCCTTCCGATTCAGACAGAGGATTATGATCTAGGTAGGTATCTAGGACACCATGAGAAGCCATAAAAACATTGTCCTACAGCAGTAGTTGCGTTGAGAAATTATATACAAACTGAACAATTTTTAGGAAACAGACGGATGTCTTTTAGCTTTCCCCAATTTTATTTTCGTTCCATTTTTCATGCTTGAATCCGAATTAGTTCAATTGGATGAATTTCGAGTTGACCCAATGACACAAATCAAAACTTGCATCCCTACTAATGCCACAGTCTCCAGCAATATTTAAATTCTTATTAGATTCACTTTTTTCTGCAAAAAAAAAATATTGCCAAGACATATTTCTCCATTCTCTGGATTAGAAAATCTCATTGTTATTCGCCGCGGCTCATGGGTTATATATATTCCTATACATCGTGACCCATTTCCCACTTGTCTAATTTGGTTCTCACTGTGTGGACAGACATATTTGCTGTTGACTTAATCGATTGGAGCACTGTCGATGTGACAGCATGGACACCTGAAATTTTTCTTTCACCACTGATCGGCGCGATGCTTATTTGTTTGGATGTTCTAGTTTATGGTAGTGCTAGTGCCCGGACGGACGCCCGTGTTGTACCCCGTTTTCTGTGTGCGTGCCTGCACTCCACGCCCGTGCTCGCGTAACCCCCCCCTCTCCCACCCGTGCCTGTGTTTCGTGCGCCCACGCAGGGACCGCTCGTGCCCCTTCCGCTTCTCACGCGCATTGCAACATGTGCAACACCCGATCTATTTTTGCAACATCCAGATGAAACACTTGCAACATATGTCCAAAACAACTGAAACACTTGCAACATACGTCCGAAACACTTGCAAAACACCTGAAAAACACTTGAAAGCCATTGCAAGCATATGCAACATCCATATAAAAAACTTGAAACATATGTGTGAAACATATGCAACATCCAGATAAAAACACTAGCAACTTATGTCTGAAAAAACAGATGAAACATTTGGAACGGACGTTTGCAACATAAGTGTATATATAACCATTGCAAGCATATGCAACATCCGGATGAAACACTGGCAACATATGTGTGAAACATATGCAACATCCAGATAACACACACTTGCAACTTATGTTTGAAAAAACAAATGAAACATTTGGAACGGACGTTTGCAACATACGTGTATATATAGCCATTGCAACATATGCAACATCCCAATCTACTTTTGCAACATCCATATGAAACACACTTGCAACATACCTCTAAAACATATACTTAAAATATACGCTTGCAACATGTCAGGCGCGACACTCTAGTGGGTGGTGACCACCATGTCAGGCGCGTTGAGGAACTCGATAACCGCTTCGATGGGCAGATCAGGGCTGGAAGGCGGCGGAGCGAAAAGCACCACGGACTTGGCCGCCGCGAGCTTCTTCCACTGGGGGCACTGGGGCGCAAGGAGCCTCGAGGTAGGTGCAAAGTATGGCACGACCGCGACGCCCTTGCCATCTCCAACCGTAGGAGGAGGTGATGAGGAGGACGCCCGGCGCTGGCGATGAGTGCAGGGGCGGACGGGAGGCGCGACTCCAGTGGTGGAGCCTTGAGTCGCGAAGGCGGCCGAGGGCCCCGGGGTGGAGGAAGCAGAGGTGGTCGCCGCTGGTGGCGGCAGATGGGGAGCGGAGCTTGTGACGAGCGCGCGAGGCGGAGTGGGAGATTTTTTTTTAGGAGGCGGCGTCCGTCCGGACGCCCGCACCGCAACATTACCATCTAGTTTATTGCGAATTATGGACTCTTCTTTTATAGTTCATAATAAGAGAAGATTCTTAGTTAATCTTGTTTAATGGCTACATTTTATGAGTCAGTCCTACATGAACGTTGTAGAACTGTCCCCTATCATTTTTCTTTCAACAGTAGTTCTTCATGTTAGCATACCTTTTATTTTGTCCATAAGTTTCTCGGCATCTCTGATGAAATGTGTGGCTCCCATCTCGTTTACATGGTGACCTTGATAATAACTCAGATACATTCACAAGAAACTACAACATGTGCACAACTTTTTATTTCAGTGGACACAAACTTTGCACGCCGTCAGCAAATAAAACCTACTGTACAAAGGAAATAAGATCCTGGCAAGTAGAGTGACCCCAAGGTTTCATCTGAACGGTTACTATCTAGTCCATCAGACAAGGGAGCAGGCTTCATACTTCCCTATCATTTCTTTGACCATTTACACACATACTGACCTTGCATCGCACAATTCACAGCAATTGCAGATCCTACATGCATCTTGTCATGACTGTTACAGGATGGAAATGGACTGGCCAGAAAGCGACGCCTAACTTCATTTGTTCCTTGAATGAAATTACTAGATAGGACAACCAAAACCAGACTGCAGATCAATCATGTATCAAGAAGAGAACAATTAACAATCAACGGATCTTGATGTCGTTTTTGCGGCCCCCTCCATTCACACAGATGATCCAAGGAAAAAAGAGCGAAAAAAATCCTCAGTTCCACCGTGTTCATAGCCATGCTAGTGATCTTTGTAAGAAACTAATCAGACCTATACTGAGATTGCAGGTAGTAGACGCTTGAGCCCTGTCCCCATGTTAGGCAGCACTTCGCATTGGCTCTCTTATATAGGAATAAAAAAAACCCCACTACTCTTGGCAGAACTGATCGCTCTTGGGGGTTAGTGGAGTATACTATATACTGCAATTCCTGGACGTTTCCGTCTGTCGATCAAATTGTGGTAAAAAAAAAGACTGTAGATTTCCTTTGTGAAAGTGCTCTACTCACATTTGACTTGTGAAGTTAAAATTCATTACACATCAAGAGTGGCAAAAATATGAAAAGTTTAATAAACAATGATAAAACTTTAGACTAATTCTAGGGATTTTGTCTTTCAAATATTTTCTATTGATTCGATGCACAAACCAGTAGCTTGTGCATACGTCCATCTAACACAACACTGACTGTGCAGTAGATATCTAGCCATAATAAGTTGGTAATTTGAATTATGCTACTGAGGCATCTTTCTCAACCATAGTTAGGACCTAGGAGTGCAGCAAAGCAGAGAAATATATTTATCGATTTTTATTTTATTTTATTGTTTCCTAATGGTATCATGTCAACACTATAGAAAGCCAGATATGCAAGGATCAATGGTTCCGTCACACATACTTGTACACATAAAACATGATGTCAGTTGTCGTTACACCTTTCTTTAATAAACAATATCAGTACAATTTAATTGAGCACTCCAGTTGTAAGAAACACTCTCAAAAAGGGCAGCTGTTCCTACATTAAGGTCAATCTGCCATCTTGTATAAACAGCTTTACAGACTAGTGGTGCCTCGTAACACTTCTGGAAACGCAACCATCAGCTAACCTGAAGACTCATATTTCTTTTCACGTGGTTTTGCTGGCATCAGGTGTGCAAGAGCACATACCCAACAGATCTCCTTGATATCATATTATGCACCAAATGTGCCTGGTTTGTTCAAACCTTCACGATGCTCCCAAGAGCTCCTTGAGATCATATCCTTGCAGCTAAAACAGTCGAAAAAACACTGTGAATTGCTTACCTCTTACTACTCAAAACAGAAACTAGCTGTTCCTACTCTTGCGCAATTCTATGCAAGTTAGCCAACTTATAATTTCGAGAATTTTCACCAGGAAAGTTACTGGTAGCCACATAGAGACTGACAAGACCTACCTGAAGAAAGGTTAGTAGAAGTATTACTCCTGAGTTCCAAAATGCATGTATTGTGATCGGAGTTAGAAGATTGCGGGTCTGAGCGTATGAAAACCCCAATGCAACACCTGCATAATACTCAACTAGGTTACTGAATGACGATGGCATGCCAAACACTGATACAAATAGAATAGCAACTCCAGTAATTACAACCGGTTGTATATGCAAATGTTGTATTGTAACTGTCTGGTTGTAACCCCTTGGCTACAATTTGCAGCCATGGCTGTCATATCTCAGTATCCGTGCAGCAAATTTTAACTCCTTTCTTCTAAAAACAGGCCATACATATGACATGTGCACAAATGATGGCATGGCAAAAACTTATATGACCAAATTAGCAATTCCTGTAATTGACAATGTATTGGATATGCCAATGGCTGTGATTCTGTATGGTTTTGTGGATGTCAGGTTTAATTGCATTTAGGCATTGTGCCTGCCTGTGGTATTTTTGCCCACAATTTGCAGCTCTGACTGTCATATATTTGAGGAAGATTTTAACTTCTTTCTTCAGTGAAAAGGTCGCAATTATGACACATTGAAAAAAGCCCAAAATGATGTAACAAGACAAATGCTGCGTAGTGCATTTGGATATGGCCAAATTGGCTACCAACTAAGGGCAGTCCCAATGCTAGAAACCACATATAGTTTCTATGTCTAGCACTATACATAGAAACTATGTTCCAAATGGATAGTTTCTACAGACTAATCTTTTCTCCAATCACGTCTTCTTTCTTCCTCATCTACCTATCACAT